TTACCAAATATGTTAAATAGTTAAGTTGTACATGTTGGCCAGATGAGCAAGTGTATAAATTTAGTCTAACATTAATTAATAAAGTGACTCTTCAGTATCCAGAGTGTAGAGATTCTTATAAAACATATATCTGACCAGGAATATTTTGACCTTTCCTTGATAGAATAACTGCTAACTTATAGAGGTATCTATAAGTACTTTGTCAAAAAATATATAAATATTGGCCTAATGTATTTTGTCTATGATGAGATCACCTTCATCATTGAACTTGATTATGATCATCCATTTGGTTGTGATGACGTGAGTTCCCTTTTGATCAGATACTTGGTCTTAAAACTTCCTTTTGTAGAGTCACAGACATAAACCCTAGACACATCTTTTCATAATGTGATAGTCTTTGCAGGATCCTCTTCAAAGGAGTTTGATCATTAGAAACTTCTGATTGAACATCTTCTGATTTTCTTGTACTTTAGCAGCATCTCTATTACCTTCATATTCTGAGAGGGTAATCTCCACACCTGCAAGTTTATCAACTAGCTTTGACTACTTAGAATCAAGATTATCATTAAATCTAACATGAATTGATTCCTCGCATAGAGTGTTTCAGTGTTATATACTTTGTAGCCTTTTGAGCGTTTAGAACATCTTAACACGATACAACTTTGAGCTTTTGAATCAAACTTGTTTAGATTTTCTTTAGTGATTAGGATAAAACAAGAGCATCCAAACGGATGAAAATATGAAATGTTGGGTTTCTTGTTCTTCCACAATTCATAAGGAGTCTTTCCAAGAATAAGTCTTACGGAGACACTATTTTGGATATAACTATGTGTTTACAGCCTTTGCCTAGAAGTGCTTTGCCATATTGGTTTCATTGATCATGGTCTTAGCCATTTCTTGCAAAGTCCTATTCTTCCTTTCAACAACTTCATTTTGCTGTGGAGTTCTCAGACAGGAGAAATCATGAGAAGTCTCATTCTCATCAAATAGCTTTTAAAAATATTTGTTTTCAAACTCTCCACTGTGATCACATCTAGCCTTGACAAATTTGAGACTTGTCTCATTTTGCACTTGGACACAGAAGGTAGTGAATACAAAATATGACTCATCCTTGTGTTAGAGAAACATCACCCATGGTCACCTGGTGTAGTTATCTAAGATAATTGATCCATACTTCTTTCCATTGATTGACTTAGCTTGGTCCAAGTAAATCAATATGCAGAAGTTCTAATGATCTATTGTTTCGGAGCCTATGATCTTTCCCTTTTGGTCAGCTCCGAAACCCATGACATTTTCAGACTTAAGTTTAAGGCTTTGGAACATATGCCTTTTCCCATCATGTGTTGTAAGCAACTAGAGTCCAGGAACCAGGACCGGTGTTTCAATTGCACTGCTAAGAATATCTGCAACATAAATTATCTTATCTTTTGGTACCCATAATTCCTTGGATTCTTTCTTGTTAGTTCTACCAGAGTTGTGAACAACTTTAATTGGTTTCAGCAGTAGAATAATCATATTTGCAAGTATTAAAACTATTTGGTTTAGCCAATCGATTATCATCAAATTTAGAGATGGTAAATGGCATACCAGGTCTTGTGATGCCCGACAAACTCTATGAAGGTTATTTAGTCAGAAAGTAATCTAGAAATTATTTTGTTTTGACTATGCCAATGAGATCATCCTGCATACTCGAAGTTGTATATTCAGATGTATGTGGCCCATTCAAAGAACAAAACATCGATGGAAACAAGTATTTTGTTTCGTTTGTCAATGAGTATAGTTGAAAGCTCCAGATATATGTGATCAAGGGAAAGGATGAATTATTTGAAATCTTTAAGAGATTCAAGATACTTGTCGAAAATCGGAGTGAAAAGAAGATCAAAGTTCTACGAACAGATGAAGGTGGCGAATACACATCCAAGATGTTTAAAGATTTATGTGCAGAACATGGTTTCAATCATGAGCTAATTGTTCCCTATACCTCAACATAATGGAATTGCAGAAAGAAGAAACAGAACCATATTGGATATGACGAGATGCATGCTAAAGCAAAAGAATTTTCCAAAATCTTTATGGAGTGAAGTTGTTTCGACTGTAGTTTATATTCTGAACTGGTACCCTACTAAGAAATTTAAGAACAAGGTTCCTAAAGAAGCTTGGAGTGGCGAATGACCATCAATGAGTCATATGAAGGTGTTTGGATCTATGTGTTACAAGCATGTTCCTGATGCGAGAAGAAGGAAGCTGGATGAAAAGAGTGAACCTATGATTTTGGTAGGATATCATAAAACCGGTGTATATAGGTTATTCAATCCAATCAACGAGAAAATTTTGATAAGTCGAGACATTGTGATTGATGAAAATTCTGTCTGGGATTAGAATTCTAATGATGCAATTAACAAGCCAGTGATGAGTTATGGTTTCAACGAAGAAATTGATGAAGTCGAAGTAGTTGCTAACATTCTTGACACATTCAAAGTCGAAGAGGGTGATGCTAGCACAAGCCAAAGACCTCGAAGAACTAGAGTTCGTCCAACAAGACTTCAAGACTATGAAGTGACTGGTGATGATGAAGTAACACCAGATGGAGAATTAGTTCATTTTTATTGGCTTGCAGGTGCTGAACCAATCAACTATAGTGAGGATTTAAAGAAAAAACAATGGAAGTCATCTATGGTCGAAGAATTACAAGAAAATGAACGAAACAACACATAGGATTTAGTCGAATTGCTAGCACACACAAAAGTTATCAAAGTGAAGTGAATGTTCAAGTTAAAACACAATGATGATGGTTTGATAGAAAGACATAAGGAGAGATTGGTAGCTCGAGGATTTCTTCAGAGAGTAGGATTCGACTACTCTGAAGTATTTGCTCCAGTAGTAAGATTGGAGAATGTTCGACTAGTGGTAGCCTTGGCATGTAATTAAGGTTGGTCGACATTATATTTAGATGTGAAATCAACATTTTTGAATGGTCCTTTAGACGAAGAGGTCTATGTCACACAACCTTATGGATTTGTGATTCATAAGGAAGCGAGTAAAGTATATAAGTTTCACAAAGCGCTTTATAGCTTCAAGCAGACACGTAGGACATGTAACAAGAAGATTTACTCATACTTGGTCGAATTGGAATTTGTAAAATGCAAGTTTGAGTATAGTGTCTATATTTAGGTTGTAGTACAAGATATAATAATCATCTGCTTATATGTAAATAACTTGTTGGTAACTGGAAATAGCTTGGAGAATTTGTCTAAGTTCAAAGAGCTAATGATGAGAGAATTTGAATGTCAAATATGGGAACATTGTCTTATTTCCTAGGCATGGAATTTCAAATGTCGATGCAAGGTATGGTGTTGCATTAACAGAAGTATGTTAAAGAGATACTCAAGAGATTCAGGATGGATGATTTGATTCCAGCATCTTCGGCTGTCGGACCAAATTTGAAGTTGGAGAAGCATGAAGAGGAAGATAAAGTTGATGTAACTTTGTTTAAACAAATAGTTGGATCTTTGAGATATGTGTGCAACAGGCGACCTGGTATAGATTTTGCAGTCAGATTAGTGAGTAGAAACATGAGTGAACCAAGGGTGTCACACATGAAGGCTGCAAGAAGAATTGTGAGATACTTAAAAGGATCAATAAATTATGGAATTCTATTTCGACGAGACTCTAAAAGCAAAGAAGCTACAATTACTTGTTTTTCAAATATTGATTGGTATGGAGATAAGAAAAGTCGAAGAAGCACAACTGGTTATTTCTTTCAAGTATTTGGTGCTTCAATCTCATGGTGATCGAGAAAGAAACTTGTGGTGACATTATCATCATGTGAGGCTGAATAAATAGCAGGATCCTATGTTGCATGTCAAGTAATTTGGATCAGATATGTGGTGGAAGAGATCGAGGTAGAATTGAAGAATCCTCTAGTGTTGCAGATCGACAACAAGTCAGCCATTAATCTTGCAAAAAATTCAGTCTTGCATGGATGAAGTAAACATATCGAAGTTAGATTTCACTTCTTAAGAGAGAATGTAAATCGAGGTGAACTTGAAGTAAGACATTGCTCAAGTGAAGAACAGTTGACTGACATTTTCACCAAAGAATTGAAGATCTGACAGATTCCTGAATTTGAGAAAGAAATTAGGAATAGTTCAGGTCGACTGTGACTAGCGTAGGTTCACCAACTTGAATTATGGAGGATATATTAAAATATTAGATATAATTCAAGTTGTGTAATCTAAGCACAATCCCAATTAGGGTTTGTTAGCCTACTTATTGTACAAGTTAGTTGTATATAAATAGACTAGTTTGTAAAACAGTTTGTAACAATTCAATTCAATAATACAATCCTTATTTTCTTATTTTCTCTTCCTCTCCTCATTAAAAGTGTCTCGTGACATCCTATAACATAAATATACATTATTGAAGATCAAAACATAGATAAAATCACAATTTTTTCATATCTCAAAAATGATTTTTATGAAAAACTATTTGAAATGGCTTCAAAATTAAATGATTTTTTGAAATTTTGATATTCAAGAAAATTTTTAATAAAATGATGATATACTTAAAATATAATTTTAAGATTAATTATTCAAACTAAATTTTCATTTGAAGCTTTATGAAAAATTTCTTTAAATTTTTTTTAAAAAAATTGTAACATTATAAAAATTATTATTTTTTAAAAATAAAACAAACGGATTCTATAGCTTTGGAATTTTTTATATTTTAAAATAAATATATAAATTAAAGTTTGAAAAACAATAAAAGCACAAAAAAATGTTAGAAAAATGTTAATATGTTACTTTATTTAACTAGTATATCAATTGGCATGGTTAATGAGTTCCTTGACATAAAGATCATATATAACAATTCATCAATTCCTTGACATACAGACATAAAGATCATATATAACAATTCATCAATTCCTTGACATACAGATCATATATAACAATTCTAACATAAGCACATAACCACACAAACAAACGACATATGGTAAATAATTAAAGGGTGGCGATAGGGGAATCTGGGACCCACTTTTGGATTGGTGAACAGTCCCAACCATCTTCATTGCTTTGAGAGACTATAAAGTGTTTAGGGATCCAACTTTCCCCTTTTGACTCTCTTTCTCTTTGGAGAATCCTTTGTGTTTCCTCCACAGTTTTCTTTGCTTCTCTTGCTTTCTCCCAATCATTGCTTATGATGGCTTGGCTTAAATCACCCCAAACAAGAGCTGATTCTGTTGGCCACACATTCTGATACAATAAAAACATGCTTTATTAGTATTGAGCTACATATGCATAAAACATATAACAACCGTAACTGTTTTTCATTTGTTGTTACCTCTGGATCCTTAACAAAAGGAGTATAGAGCCCTGATATAACTTGTTTTGCATCATATATCACTCTTACTTCTGCATTACTTGCATCTTTCAATGTTACAGTGCTGCAACATTAGTTTATATGATTATGAAACTAAGAAACATATCATCTAAATATCCACGTAATATCGGTAAATATCAACCATCATTATTTTTCTACGTAGAACTGATACTTCATTTTAAATATCTGACACTTCATATTAAATAAGAGTAAAATTGATAAAAATTAATTAATTTGTATTGGAAAAGTAAAACAACACTTATTTTAGGATAAATTTTTTAAGTTAAAGAGACATTTATTTTAGGACAGAGAGTGTATGTGTCTAGTGTCTCTCACTTATAGAACACTTTAGAGTGATACTGAGATGGTTGGATACCTATCCCAATGGCCATCAATTTTATAAAGAACATTCATTGTGAGTGAGTCAAAGATCTTCCCTTTTATCCGTCTTCGATTTCCTCCAAATCCAAGGAAAGACTGTCTTATGTAGGTCAATTCTACTGCAAGGCTTGTTTCTCGACACCGGATAGTGACATCGCCAACCCAATCAATTCCAGGAACTGGAAGAAACCTGAATAAGAAATTAGGACAATTCATTTCGTATGTCTCTCCGTGATTATGTAGACGCAATTTTCGTTTTCCATGTATGATAGCTTCTACTCCACTACCTGCATATATTTTTTGTTTTAATAACTAAGTAAAAGAGCACAACATATGAATGTGTTCTAGTTTTTTTACCGACAAACTTCGGAACCGGATAGTGGCACAATATAATTTCTATGTTTTCTTTCTGATCAGTAGCATGAAATGCAGATACTTGAGGATGGTGTGAAACCTGCGAAATATAAAGAACAATAATTAGCAAAGTTTTCAAAAATATGAAACATGAAATAACAAAGTACCTGTTCAATTAAGACGTTAAGGTTTCCTTTGGAAACATGGTGAGTTTCACCAAGTATGGGATTGTAAGGAGCAACTCCAAAATTCTGTGGTCTTGTAGTAGAAATGCTCCATGCCACTACTGATATGATTCTTTCCAATGGTGTTTTCCCATTGTTGATGTTGTTTAACAAGTCTACTCCTGTGGATGTGGAATATACACATTCACCATACCATTGAAGTTGTGACTTTGGCATGTTGAAGATAGGTGGTAGCTGTAAAATATACTTACATTTAAATTAGGTTTAATGTATCATTTGTTCTCTTAACTTAATTTCAAGTTTTACTTTAGTCTCTTATTTAATAAATATTCGTTTTAAGTGTTTTAAATTTAATTTCAATTAATCACATTGGTCCTGTCAATTAAATTGTGTCAATTTCTGTTAACTAGTGAATGTGTGGCACTCACCGAGTGTTAAGTTAGATGACATGGAATTATTTTATTATATATTAATTTAAAATTTAAAATTGAAAAAAGAAAAAAAAGCTGAAACGATAATGATTCATTTCATATTTTATTTTCACTCTCTCAACTCAAGCAAACCCTAGCTAAGATGAAGACGCAGTTTATCTTGTCTTCTCATTTTCTTCACAATTTTTCAATTCAATTGATGCACAGAGAAAAATCACTTTTTGGTTTAAATCCTCAATAACAACTGTGAGATTTATGTTTTCTTCAATCATCGTACAAATTTTGATTTTCGTTTTTCGTTTTTTAAGATGGATTCTTAGTCCACATATGCAATTCATAGTAGACACAAATTTGTGCAATCATTTTACAATGGCCATAGTCCATTATTATTACTGTTATTAGGATCTATGTGGGATCATTCTGTTGGTGCACAAAGAAGAGATGAAAGGTAAAAAGAATGTATTAAATGACGGCTACAAAATAAGGAAGAATGATTTACAATGAATTTCATTGAGCTACCTCACTAGGCTATTTATACATAAAATAAAATCCTAAATATCCTCGAACAAAGATATAAAAAGATATAATAATATCTTCTAAAAAGATATTCCTAAAATATAGATTAATATCCAAAAGATATTCCTAAAATATAGATTAAATCTAACACCATCCCTTAATTTATATTTTATTCAAATCTGACAACAACAATTTCATCCCTCGAGCGAAGAAATTGATCAGTCTTAATAGTCTTTGTTAGAACATCTTTCAGCTGCTTTTGGGTGCTACAGTGCACAACTTCTATTATTCCACTCTGAACTTGACTCCTCAGAAAATGATATTTGGTCTCAATGTGCTTGCTTCTCCCATAAAGCACTGGGTTCTTGGCAAGATTGATTGCGGTTGTTATCAATCATCAGCTTCAGAGGTTTATTTACATCAATCTTCAGATCTTTCAGTGTTGTACCCCAAAATTTGCCCTCCCATCCTTCAGGAATCCATCCTGAACTCTCAGGTTTTTCTCTTAAACAAAGTCAAGCCCTTCATTATCGTTCCTTTCCAAGCAAACAATTTACAAGAGCAAAATGGTCATTTGCAAGCTCTAAAGGCAAAGCTTTTACCTTGGAAAAATTAAATTCTAAACATTGGGAATTTTTCTCTAAAAAAAAAAGAAAAGTGGGTGTTTAAGAAGAAAATGGCACTTCAGAACTTCTGAACCAACCTCCAGACAGAAACGGTCAGAAGCTGCAAACTTGTTTCAGCACATAACATTCAGTCAGAAGATGGCTCTTTCAACAGTTACACCAACTCAGTCAGAGATTGTAAACATGTTTCAGCACGTGATCTTTAAACAGAACATAGCGTTTTTTTCCAGCAACTACGCAGAAGTTCAGTCAGGGTTTGCTAGAGAAAACAACAAAGCCTGGAACTCCTTCAGAACGTACTGGGATCAGAAGGTAATGGGATCAGCAGATTGGGTAAAGTACTGAAGCAGGATCACTAAGTTCAGAGTCTATAAAGACAGATCAAAGGAGCATGCTGGAAAACTCTCAGAACTTGCTGAGACAGCAAGAGGCCAAGGTCAGAGCTTGGTTTACGTTGTTTTTGGTGAAGCATAACTGCTGGCTCAGGTTTTAGGTAATGATGCAAAATCTCCTATTACAAGATTTTAGATCTTGACAAATCTCATCACCATTTAATGCTCATTAATGCTCACAAACACTTTTGAGCATTCACCCAAGGGGGCTCTCCACGTGTGGCTTGGTAATACCCTTTGTGCAGGTTTAGGCATGGGTCTATGCGCCACTTTTTGCCTATGGGTGTCACTTCTCCTCAATCCTTGCTTACTGCTCCAGCCTAGGCTGAAAAGCTGTCCATCATCACAACTTTTCATGAACTTCCTTCAAGAAGAAGTTAACCTCTACTACATAATATTAGCGTCATTGAACGTTCAAAAATCCACAAAGCCTTGCCTATAAATAGGACACCATTGTCCATCACAAAAAGAAGGAGAGACGTGAAAAAAACATCCAGAAAAATTGCTAGAGAAGAAACAGAAAACTCTAGTAAAAGAAAAACCTTGTGAATCTCTGGTATTTTTCACAAAACTTTGAACTTCCTACTTCCAAACTTCATTAATATCCAGTTTTCTTTGTGACCAAAGAACACCCTTACAGTTTCTGACCATACATACATCTTCTCCATCCACCCATTCTAAAAAATAACCTGTCCAGAACACCATCAGAGCTAAAAGAAAGCTCTCACTCACAGACTTTTTCAACAGCCAGGTAAGCACCTGCTTACTTTCATCACGCTGCTAAGCATCATCAGCTTTGCATGCTCAATAAACATAATGTAAATATCATGTTGCTTTTGTTTGCGTTCTGAGGATTTTCATACCTCAGAATGTTTAAGTAGGAAGTGAATCAGTGTAGAACCTGCATGTGACCTTGTTGGTTCTGTCTCCTGAAACACTTTGACATTTGTTGAAGTTGTCCCAAGCATGTTTTCTGTTTTGTGGAAAAATAACAAAACTGCAGATGTTCTGGCTAGCACAGGGAGAAGCCAAGTTCTAACTTTGACGTTAGCACATCTGAAGCCTGTTTTGCTGTCAATAATATCAGAACTTCTGAAAATTGTTGTATGTCCGGCAGGGTCAGAACTCCTGACTTCCCCACTAACAAACTTTTGTCTTGCAGTGCATGGGGGTCAGAACTTTTGACCTTCCCACTAACAGGTTTCTGTTTTGCAGGTGCCAGAGTCAGAAGTTCTGACTCATACATTTTCACCAAAAGGTTGATAATATGGCAGCAGGCCTGGGTCAGAACTTCTGACTTCCTCTCAGCAGCGCGCTAGCCCTCTCTCTCTTTCTCTCTATCTTCCCTTTGTTATTTTCTTTTCTTATCTATTTTTCTCGTTGAACCACCCCATGTACAAATGTGTATCCCCATCCCCTAAATGCTGTAATAGCGTAGGATTTTACATTTCCGCCTTTTATTGCTTTCAAGTATAAATGTTAGTAATTAGGATGTGTATGGCAAGATAAAAATCAATGAAATAGAAAATCCTAATTCAAGATAAACTCTTGCATGCAATAAAACGCACTTGCACATAAACACCCCTAAGGTATCTCCAATTGGTTGCCTAAATAAATGGCCATGATATGCATGTTGAGTATCTATTGGCAAAATAAAAACAAAACAAAAAGATCATAGTCCCTCGATGATGCTATCTTGGTTGCCTATACAAAAATGATTTAGTCCCTCAGAAAATTGCTAAAAGATACTTGGCAATGTTGCTATCATGGTCAATATGATGACCCACGCATGTCCCGTTTAACATCCTAATACAAGGTTGTTTACCAAATACGATGGTAAAACAACATTGTTAAAAGGGTAAAAAAAACATAAGAAATATCTTTGAGTAAAATAGGGTAGATAACTCTTAGTTACTTGATCAAAACTTGCAAAAAACATCCTTGCTATTTTCAAACACACCTCAAAATACAACTTCAAAACAATTTCAAATCAAACTTTCAAATCTTTTCAAAAGACAATACACCTTTGTATACATTCAAACAAGAATCATTACAAAGGTTGCCACAACGATGGCCTCTTTTCAAAAATCATTTTCAAAAGCCACACACCAAGCACCATTTCAAAACAAATTGAAAAGCAAACGCAAGTGATCTAAAACTAAGAGCCCATGGAGAACCATGGATAGAAAGGGTGCTAATACCTTCCCTTTCTATAATCTACTCCCCGAACCCAAGAAAACATCTCAAAGGTCTTTCCTGTGCTTTTTGACCTTTCCTTAGGATAAAATAAGAAGTCGGTGGCGACTCTTGCTAAACCGAAACATTTTGCGAACACAAATGCAAAATCCCAAGTCAGTTCTCCCACCGTATCACAGAACTGGTGACTCTGCTGGGGACTTGAAACAAGAGTGGAGTAACCTTAGAGCTTAGATCACCCTTTTGCATGATTATTGTTTGCTTTGATTGCTTTACATTTTGGTTCTCTTGTTTGGGCTTGAAATCCTCCACCCGGATTTGGGAAATATTCATAGGTAAATAGCAATACGTTGTGGAAACTGTGCGGGGTATACTGACACGGTTGAAGCAATAGCTATATTAGTGCGACATATTTGTGAGTACCGGTAGCCTTTGAGTCAATCAAAGAGAATACGGGACCGCTGAGTGATGTCATGAAGCACTAATGAACTCTTAGAACCTTACTTGACCATCTTGGCCTTTATTAGGAGTAGTGAGATGACCGGCTTTGGTGCAGTCCGAAGTTGGTAGATACTCGATACTACACTCATTGAGGGTTGTTTTCTTGGAATATTTTGGTCGCTAGTTAAATGGCTAAACCAAAACAATGAACATAGAAAACAATCCAATGATATTGAGCTCCTTAGAACCCGGTTACTATTTATAGGACCGGTTTTAAGCTAACTAAACTCAAAAGGGTACTTACCTATGAAACCTCATGCAAGCCTGAAACTAGGGTTTTGTGTGACTTGTTCGTACATGTGCTTGTGCATACATCATGAACATCATAAAGAATCATATGCATCCACTAACCATTTCAAGGGTTTGGATCTTCATCTTTGTTCTTGTTTTGTAGGTCATGGAATCTCTTCGCAGGAAAACAATTCAGGTCAACCTTGTGAGAATCCCTTCTCATCTCAAGGAGCTTACTTCTAGGATTCCAGAGAATTCTCTCTTCAGTGAAAGACATGGTAGACTTCTCAACTTGGTCAACTCCAATATTGAAGAAGACATGGTGAAAGTTCTCTTCCAGT